TAATAGATCTTCTTGTTTGACTTGAACAAGGCGTATAATTTTCAACAACACTGCTTCCAGTCTTTCAATAAACCTTCTGTCGTTTGACACATTTGGAGGTGATTATGCGGAGAATATTTCGGAAGAAAACTCTGCATGCCTCGCTTGCTTTTCTAACATGCTTCGTTGAACTCAAGGAATGACTCGCGCTGGCTAATTTCACGCCTTTTCATAAAATCGCTTCGTTTAGATCACACTGAAATGACCACATCATTTTGTCGATATGAAGAAACAGTTATTCCATTCGCCCTTGTTGGGCAGGTTGTTATTTATCACCTCGTATCCAACGTGGTCTCATGGAATAATTGTTAGATATTCACGCAGTCCGACTGTTTGTATACAAACAAAACCAAGCGAGCCCGCCCCCCACGTGACAAAGATTGGCATGCATATAGTTCTTTGTTCAAGGAAAACATTAGCCGCAACAATACATTGCCTTTGTAAAAGATCCGTCTTCTTCAGTCTTGTTTGACTAACTTTTCGTATTTATTTTTCGAAGTCGACATGACGTTTACTAAAATTATCAGATTTAAGGTTCAAAATACAGAAAATCGAAAACAAAAACATCTTGAATTTTTTAAGCCTTTGCCGCGCATTTGAAATAAAAACACGTTTAATCTAGCTTTCAAATGTTGTTCATATCAACCAGAATATAATTCGGTTAAACGTTATAAGCTAATTGTTTATTTACCTTTCCTGTCGTTTTATTTGGAATGCTCCCTTGTTTCCTCGTAAAAATCCTCCCATATCCGCAAGCTTCGCTTTCATTTACTGCGGCGTATTTTGTTTCTTTCATGCCGGTGAGACGAACACTACTCGCGCCCTCTCAAAAGGAAGGTCTTCGTACCCTGGTACCCATCTCAGTGAATTGCTTCATCGTTGACGTGCACATTTAAAAGACGACGCCAACAGTTTGTCTTTTGCATCACATTTTGTATCGCTTATGATCTGCCTGAATCTTGGACAGCTCGATGATGTAAGCAAAATATTTGCATATTAATGACACTTCGAAAACGTAAGAGTTCGTATGGAATTTAGATGTGCGACTTTCGGGCGATAAAATAGTGTCAACATCGCCGATGAAGTTCCCTTTCTCTAGCTAAGTTGAATTTCTAAGTAATTTGGACGACTTTTGGTCAACATATACTGCTATGTATCCTGCCACGTATGGGGGTATATAAAAGGGTAGGGATTTCACAAGTTCAGGTATGTGAAAGGGTAGGGAAATCGGAATACCTTGACTTTCCCCAGAACATGAACTGAACAAAAAATTCTTGTATTTTGGTTAACATCTCTTCTGGTATAGTAATGCTTGATGTTCTCCCGAAATATTGTTCTTTAATTTCATTCGAAGGATTTAGAAAAGGATGAATTCTTCTTAAGTAGTATGTGAAAGGAATACCTTTTTTAATTAACAGATGCACGAAAGGGTTACCTTTTCTGTCAAAGTGGTTTACAAGTGAGGGGTTAGACCTCGGGACCGAGCCTCCCCGTAAAAGAATTTCTTTTAATAGTTTTAAGTACTTAACTCCCACCCCGACTCCCTTGGGCCACGTATCTCAGTAGAACCGATCAGAAGTGAGGTCGATTCGCTTCCGAAATTGCTCGAATTTTTATAGCACAAAAACAGCTTTACATTTTACTTCTTCGTCCCTGTATATGGTGCAAGAAAGTAACAAAGTCCCTACAAAATGAAAATTGTACATAGCTTGTTTCTGTACGGAATTAGCAGCTCCACAAAATCAAATATCAATTTGAAATTGCCGCCATTCATACATCCTTTGCATAAATGGTGCCTAAATTTGAATAATAATACTTTGTACATCCTTAGCCTCGTACTGATGTTTCCAGACAAAGGATTTTTCACAAGAATGTGAGGCTTAAGATGTAAGAAAAAGGTCTGTCCGTACGTGAAACAGATCATAGGCCACCTTTGCACGGTCTGCACTGGGTACCATGGTAGAAAAGAATTCATCAGGGAAGGGTCCTCGCGGCGCTAGGTTTTTGTAATGCGGCTACTGTACACTAACCCCCTCCATGAGAACAAAATTCTCCCTCTTGGTCCTCACTCAAATTATTCATCCGCGCACATAGATATGTTGCTAACATGAAGAAACTCATAGAAATAGATGATGGCAATCATGACCTTAAACTGTATCACCTACCCGGGGGCGATTCCCACATGAAAAGGTCGGGGATGCTCGTCGCCTCGCTTAGGGATAAAAATCAACGATTCTGGTCTCCCTTAGGGTGTTAATGACGAAAGGCCACTATTTTTAGCTGCCAAAGTATCTTTTAGGGTGCACTCGAAGAAATAAAAATTAAAAAGCGTTCTTTTTCTGATTCTATGTCGATTTTCGCTGATCTCCTAAGTCCTGTCTACAGGCGATGGCTCCCTTCCTGAACAGAGGCTGGTAATCGAGCCTATCCCGATTAAAGTGGTATCTTTTAGACGTCAAAGAAAGCCTGAGCCACGACTAGGTTGGACTCCTTTAGGGGTTTAATTCAAATTTTCTGACGAGCATCCTCAATCTTTTCATATGGCGAGGTGGCCGCATTAACAGTGTTTCCTTATAAAAAAATGTATTGGCGTTTCGCTGGGGCAAGAAAAAGAGGCCGTACGCGTAACAACGAGGTGAGCGTAAGGCGGGTTACCTTGATATTCAACAAAATGTCACGATATCCATATATGGTCAATAAGTTAGTGTATACTGAATATATCACAAGATACTTGTGATTTACAAATGAAAGACTGTTCACTGTTATCCACACAAAACAGATACTGCTGTTTCGACAAAGGTTGTCCAAAGAAAGCGTAAAAGCGTATGCGACAATGCCGAAAGGTAGTCTGGGAAACATCCAATAAATTGCAATAAAAGCTCAGAACAATGCCTCGACCGTACAGCGAAGACTTGAGATGGCTGGCAATATGGATGAAAGCGTATTTAGGACACAGCGTTGACGAGGTAGCGGCTGCTTTATACATGTCGCCAAAAACCACTCTTCGCTACGTAACAAAATGCCTGAATCCTGGTGAAGTGAAAGCAGAGACTTTGGGACGACCGTTAAATAGTCTTCTTACGCATCCGCACGTGGAGTTTGTAATAATGGAAGCGGTACTTAACCACCTGGAAAAAACTCTCTCAGAAATTGCACGGAATATCTACGAACGGACAGGGTCAGAACATGCTCTTTCGAGCATATTGCTGTATTTGAAACGGAACCGTTTTAGCCGAAAAAGGGTTTGACAAATATTTCTTGTCAGTGCTACCTTTTGATTTTTCCCTGCTTACGTAAATTTGAGAAGAAAAAACATATTTGTTTATAATTATTTTTGTAATGACTCATCTTAAAGCTGACAACAATTGCCCTTCAAAGATCTGAAACAGACAGAGTACTTTTTAGGTCTGATGTTTGTCTCCTGGATCCCGAGACGGTTGGTGTTCTTGGATGAAAGCGGATTTGTATGTGTTCGTTTGTTGCCGTCTAACACAGCATTTCGTTCTCTGTTTTACTATTATTTAGCCCTAATCGTTCAGTGCTCTCACTTTGTTTGTTTGTTTTTTTATCATTTTATCAGGACAAAAGACATAAACGTACATATGTATATAGCCCGATCGGTAAAAGAGCTGAGGTGAAATGTACGGCGCAGAACCGGGGACCGCGCATAACCGCCATTTCTATTATTCGCACAGAAGGAATGATTGATCTTGGTCTTTTTCAGGGGAACGTCAATGGAGTAACATTTGAAGACTTAGTGGATGAAAAGCTATGCCCCAACTTGCTTTCATTTAACGGAATCAACCCGCGATCAGTGGTCATAATGGGTACAAGAGAATCTTTGGCAACATTAGTTTTATGATCGAATTGTAAAATAATTGTTTCCACTCTGGTCCAAATTCTCTGTTAAAAACATCACTGTAAATAGGCCGCTTCCATAAATTCATTTCTTCCCTTTTTATTTGTCTTTTAGATAATGCGGCTATCCACCATACGCAAGCAGTGATTGACGAAATTAATGCAACGGGAGCGATTATTCTTTTTCTTCCGCCCTACCGTCCTGATTTCATGCCGTGTCAGGAACGTTTTGCACAAGTAAAGAGCTGGATCAGGGAAAACGATGTAGTCTGGCAATTTTGCATGGATCCAAAACTTATGGTTGAAGAAGCGTTCCTTCAAGTCACGGATGAAGAAATCAAAAACTATATTCGACATGCAGAGTATTGTTAATGACCTTTTTTTACAACAGTTACTATTCATGTAAATTATGAAATTGGTTTCAATTATAAAGAGCTCAGTTCCGTCAACAGCTTGTCCTTCTGTGAGGAAAACTCGTTTTCGTCAAAAACACCATCGTTCATATATGAATTATTTCATATAAACTTCACATCATTTCACTCCTAACGGGAAGATATGAACTCAATTAATTAAATAAATAAATAAATAAATATACATTTATATAGCGCCATTTTCCACTAATTGTCCATGGCGCTTTACAATACTTTAAAATTAAAATCCTAATTCTT